CTATAGGCACATTGCTGTGCATTTGATCTTCAGAGCTTGCTCATTTTAATAATAGTAATGCAATATTTTACTCACGTCTCCCCATTTCTCCCTCCCTTCAGCCACTGACAGCCACCATTCTACTCTCTACCTCTATGATTCTGATATTTTTTATGCCACATCAGTGTCATCAAACAGTGTTTTGTCTTCCTGAGCCTGGATTATTTCACCTAGCTAATGCCCTGCAGGTGTATCCAATGTTGTTGCAAATGGCAGTACTTCCTTTTTGAAGGCTGTAATGTACATATATATATATTCCTTCATCAGTGGATATTTGCATTATTCCTGTATCTTAGCTATTGTGAATAATGCTGCAATAATCATAGGAGTTTGGATAATGACTTGATTTCCTCTGGATATAAAGCAAGTGGGATTGCTGGCATATGGTACTTCTGTTTTTAAATTTTTGAGGAACATCTGCATGGTATTCCACACATTGTAACAATTTCAGTTCATCACCATGATGTACAAATGAACTGAATATATCCTGAATATGTAGATATACAACTTGATTTACACAGGAGATAATTTTTGCATGTATTTCAAATCAGGATCATTTTGGCAGGAACATTTTTGTATTGTAAATAAGACGTGAATTAGAGTTCATTTAGAGGCTCTGAGGACAAGGTGTGCATTCTCTACATCTTTCATTAAGTTTGGATTGTTGCAGGAAACAAGTCAGGTTATGGGTAAGACAGCAAGAAAGAGAAAACAGAAGATATAAAAATAAAAATTACACATACACAAAAAACCAATTTACTTGGGCATAAGGGAAATCATATACATTCTTTACCTTTTCATCTGTAGTGAATATATATTTTAATACATTTCATGTGACTTTTAGTTTGATTTTTAGTAGACATCATAAATTTATTTCAGAGTTGACCTCAAAAATTTTAAGGGCTAGTGAAGGATATTTATTTGGATAAAATTAATATGTAAATATCTGCATCTATCACTCTAGTATCTAAATTACTAGCAGAGCAACCAGAGAATGTCTCTTAAATCTCTGAATCTACTCTTATCTGTAAATTCCCAGATTATATCAGCCTCAAGGGCTAGTGGTCAAGTTAATCTTGACACAAATTTTGACACACGTCAGACTGACCCTAGTGTAGAAGATCAATAAAAATTTGCAGCTTCAACTTCTTTTCCATGTAAGGACCTCATCTCGCTTCAGGGCTTGTTTCTCTGAATCACTGAGAAACCAGGTGTTTTTGCTTTTCTCCTGTGTGTATTTTCAGTAAGGCTGATATTCAAATCACAAATTAAGTGGAATTTAAAAAATGAAGTCGGGTGAAAATCTAATTTAAATCGTCTGTAAAAGATTCCTTATTATTATTTCTTAGGAAAAACTAAAATAAAAGGGAAATATTTACAGGAGAACAAAAGCAATCTGCATTCCTTAGACCTTGAAACATATTCAATGGCTGAGGTTTCTTCCCGTTCATATGCATCGCCTCTTTAAGTAATTAAATGCAAGCTTAATACTAAAGGACAGAGGGACACAGCCAATCAAATGATGTACAAATGAACTGAATATGTCCTGAATATGTAGATATACAACTTGATTTACACAGGAGATCATTTTTGCATGTATTCATCTAACTTGCCTTTCATTATTTTTGTTCTGTGTGGCTTTTTCCTGATGATTAAACTGAGGTGATATTGACTTCCTCAGGGGGCCTTTGCTACAGTCAGCCCTGTATAAAATGGAAATGATCGGAATACATACAATCTTTATTTAATTGGTAATAACAAATATTACATTTTCAATCTTGTCACTGTTTGTACTAATAAGATCAGATCCCACAATATCAGTCAATAGGAAGCTTTCATGTTGAATCCAAATGCCTTGCTATAAAAAAAAAGAATTCTCCCAGTTTTTCTCTGCAGCTTGTTGGCAGCAATTGAAAATCAATTTTTTCACATTTGCCCAAGATTGTGCCATAGGATTCCTATAATTTATTTGGCAGGTCATATATAAAATAAGTTGAGAACATGCAAATTAAGTAAAATAATTGCATCACTTTAATATTTTACTCAAATAATGCATGGATAGGGCATCCAAAACTCACAGGGTAAAACAATGGTCCTCTTGTTTGAATTAAACCCATCCCTGTGAACTCCAAGGCAAATGTTTCAAACTATTTTATAATTTTTCCCAGTATTTTTCCAATGTTTTAAAAAATGTTCATATGTTCTAACATCTGATTCCTAAACCCCAAATGCCAAACAATTATCTGGGACCTGGGTTACTGCAGATGGGGAGCTGACCCCACCCTCCACCATCCCTTCACCATATTCCCATCTTGCATGCACTAAACATAGGTACAGCCCACTTTACGTCTTGGAGAAATAGGATGACAGCATTATTCCATATTCTATAATTTATTGGCTGCAAATAAAAGTATGACCTTTGCAAAACTTGATGCTATCGTATAGGCCATTAATACATACATTTCTTGTCATCAAAGTACTATCCTTTCTCTGAAGACATTTTCAGATTTAACTTTATAGCTAATGTTGATAATTGTCAAGAATTTATTTTTAAGAAAATATTTAGACTTGAATAATATTTTGTAATAAATTATTTCTCCTTTATTTTTCTGATTTTTATGTTCTAGTTCAATATTGTGGCTCATATATAACTGTTCTGAGAAACTGATAATATTCATTCCATAATTTCTATGTCATGCATTTTTATGAATGTTCATAAGTATATATCGGGCCATCTTATCTTAATTCTTTAATTCTCTTATCTTTTCAACATGTCAAACTTATTTCTCATTGCTGTTTTGCTTTCTCCATCTTATCTTTTAAAACTTTCATTGAATCCATTATACTATTATCTTTTTGATTTCCAGAAGTCCTTTATTATTACCCTTTTATATCACATGTTATTAGTACTGTGGAATTAATAACTCATATTTCTCTGAAGATATGTAATTTTCTCATCAAGATAAATTGTATTTATGTAGTGTCTGTGTGACTTCTGTCCTACACTGAGAGACATCCTCAACAGTATCCTCTTTGGTCCTGGAAAGGAATTAGAGACTGACATATTGCAACACTTTTATGTTTACACATTGCTGCTATTCCTCTAGGGAATCCACATTTATTCCCACTCAGAAGACCCTAAGGATGCCATTTCTTCTTTTCTCCATTTAAGTGACGGCTTCTCAAAATTCCTCCTTCCAAAAGACTGAAGAACTCTTTTTATCTTTGGTTCACCCCTGTCCTTCCTTCCCCACTTCTTTACATTGATAACATATTTATTTATTTATTATCATGTTAGTTTAGTTTTATGACAGATGTGATAAATATAAGTGCTAAACCCCACAATTATCTGGTAATGTAAAGAGTTTTAGATAAATGAAATTAAAAGGAAAATTGAGAGAGACAGAGAAATTGCCATAGACCTAGGTGTAATGTTACACACATACTGGGAAGCAGACGGACAGAACACATCCTCTTCCAGAGAGCTCGAGCAGAGCTGTGGAAGCCGCAATGGGACTGTGGTGCACACGCTCACACACGGCACTCTGAGGCCGGAGGCTCCAGAAGTTAGTTCAGGGGCCAAAAGAGAGTGCCTCTGCATAAATGATATTGGCAATAAGGACTCACTGTAGATTTCCAGAAAGAAAAGCAGCAGTTAATAATAGTACATGTCTTTTAAGAAACTTGATTTGGCACTATTTTGCAAGGAAAATTCAGAAAGGGTTATTGATTTGCAACATCAGAAGGTAGGCTACTCTGTTTTCAGAGTTATTAGAGCTTTTAAAAATCATCCTCTAAGGGACATAAAACTGTACTCCAATATCAGTCTATATTTATGCTAGTACACCGATTTTTATGCAATCATCTGAAGCTTATGGTCTGAACTTAATGATACCTGAATTTATATAAGGTAATAAAATATCTATATCTTATTCAAGACAGTATAGGTATATATTACTCTTAAAGTTTTATAATTCCTATAAAACATTTTTGCTACACCTGTTTGCTTCATGAAGATTTTATCTCACAGGAAAAAGTTGGGGTTTTTTACTCTAAATAGTTAAATTTCTTCTTCCTTATAGATCTGTAATTTTCATGAATAAACCCAGTAAGATGAAAGTAATGAAGTAAATATAGTTTATTTGCACATCTGTGATGATTAGTGTCCTTGAGTTCTATTCATGTGTCCATTGCCCATCTGTCTTATTTGGAAAAATGTTTATTCAAGTCACCCATCCATTTTTTAATTGGGTTATTTGTCTTTCTGGTGATGATTGTATGATTTATTTATATATTTTTGATATTAGCCCTAAATTGGATATATCACGTGCAAATATAGTCTCCATACAGTAAGTTGTCATTTTGTGTTGTTGACAGTTTCATCAATAAGTGAACTGATAAAGAATATGTGGTCATATATAAAACAGAATATGGCACAGCCAAAAAAAAGAAATGCATCTTGCCATTTACAACAACACTGGTGGGCCTAGGGGATTATGCCAAGTGAAATAAGCCAGTCAGAAAAAGAAAACTGCCATATGATTTTATTTATATGTGGAATCTAAAAACCGACCACAACCAAAGGAACAAAACAGAAATAGCCTCATAGACAGTTAGCAGTGGCTGGTGGTCACCATGGTGGAGGGGTGGGGTGGTGGGTGAGATACGGGAAGGAGATAAAGAGGCACAAAGTCTCAATCATAACATAAATTAGTCACGGGGATGAAAGTACAGCACAGTGAATATAGTCACTAGTTCTGTAACATATTTCCATGTGGATGGATAGTAACTGCACTGGTTGGGGTAAGAATCTAATAAAGTATATAACTGTGGAAAACATGGTGTAGTATGCTTGAAGCCAGTATAATATTATATATGAACTATACCTCAGTAAAAAAGCTTATTACACTGTATTTACCTTAATGTACACTTGTTTTTAGGAACAGTTAAAGGAGTGAAATATGGAGAATCACAGCCACACATCAACTGATTTCATCTTATTGGGGTTGTTCCCACAGTCTCCAGCTGGCTTGTTCTTCTTCATTCTCATTGTTCTCATTTTCCTAACGGCTCTGTTGGGCAACCTTTCCATGATCCTTCTGACCCTCCTGGACACCCATCTCCACACACCCATGTACTTCCTGCTTAGCCAGCTCTCCTTCGTTGACCTGAGCTACATCTCCACCATTGTTCCCAAAATGGCTTCTACTTATCTCTCTGGAAACCAGTCTATCTCCTCAATAGGGTGTGGGGCTCAGAGCTTCTTCTTCTTGACTTTAGCAGCTGCAGAAGGATTACTACTGGCATCTATGGCCTGTGATCGTTATGTAGCCATTTGCTTTCCTCTCCACTATCCCATCCTTATGAGCAAAAGAGTGTGTGTGCTGATGATAACAGGATCTTGGATAATGAGCTCCATCAATGCCTGTGTCCACACCATATATGTCCTCCATATCCCTTATTGTCAATCCAGGGCCATCAACCATTTCTTCTGTGATGTCCCAGCCATGCTGACTCTGGCCTGCATGGACACCTGGGTCTATGAGTACACAGTGTTTCTGAGCACCACTCTCTGGATTGTGTTCCCTTTCATTGGCATTGCGTG